TTTAGGCAAGAAAATGAACTAGTTTTAACTTGGGCTGCCGCAATTGAGCAAAAGACTGATAATTGTATCTTCCACAATTTGATGTATGCAACCCCCACGATGCAGTTGGATTTAACTTGGCCTAGTCTTCCATAAGGCTTCTTGCCAAGCCGGGACCGCATTTTTACTTTGCCCGAGTTACATCAGCGGTACTAACTGCATTCCAACACAGTTTATGCCTGCTAAGCGTAACTTAGTCACTTGTGTCGATAGGTCACATGGCTGATGTGAACTAAAGCTGGTTGGGCATGTCTCGATTCACATTTCTTGTTGAACTTGTGTCAGACTATATACCAATTGATTTGGTTTCCTAGCCTTAAATATGTTGAATCGAAGGTATGAAAACCAAGATGGTGTGGCCTTTTGTATGGTCGCATTTATTTTATTTTTTACTCACTATTGTGGCAAACTCCACTTTATTTCTTCATATTTTTATATTTATTATGAATAGATAACTTGATTATTTAAAAATCTATTCACTTGATATAAAAAACACGAGGGCTTGCTTTTTCGTTATAAGGCTCAGTTTGTGACCATATGAATAGCCTCTCCTAGTAGTTCTTAGTGCATATTCGGTTCATTTATTTTTGAATAAGTTTTGTTGGTTATTATAGCTTTAGAAAAGCCCAAAAATAATTTATTTCACTCACTTTGGTAATTAAACTCGATTTAATTTAATTAGATAATACGTCACTTTTCCTCAGATTTGGTATTATGGAATAACTCATTTTCTGCTTAACATAATATTAAGATGCTTACTCATTTTCATATTTCTTGCTCCTTCCAGGGAATACTGGAAAGTCATTTCACTGTTTTCCTCAGCTATCCTCTGGCTCGAATCTTAACGCTGATACAGACCTCGAAAGTCAAAGTTTATTGCTCGCACACGTCTACCGAAGTTGCTTTGTTCAGACTGCAACCTTTCTTGACAACCTTATCTCCTCTAAAGACGAGATTGCCACCCTTAGCCTTGGAATCAGTGGCCAGGATGCTTTGGTCTCTAGAGTTAAAGAGGTTAGTCAATGTCCGCATGTTTCAATATATATTGATTGTCATAACTAACCATCTAAGAGACTTTCATATCCTATTTAAATGCTGTGAAGCCTTCATTTATTTCCATGTATATGCATTTTTTCACCTCTTTCGTATATTTTAATTTCTTATCTTTAGTTGATCTCTTATTTAACGGACTTCGAAAATGATCCCGACCTCTCTACCGTGTCCCAGTTTCCTACGATATTTCCCTCTTCTGTAAGTCTGTCCTTGCATGTACCCGTGCATGTATGTATATGCATATGATAGCTCTTTTGTTATTATTTCATTCTGTCCACCCAAGACACTATATAAATACACCTCTATATTATCTTTTCTTACCTTTTTTCCCATCATTTTATAGTCTACTCAAACGTCTCTCCAGATCCACCTGACGGCTGCCAATCGATTATCTCAGCGTCTGCTACAGTCCCCTGTGCCTCCGAAGTCTCCACCTCCAGTATCTATCTCACCCCCAGCTGATGATGGAAACGGTATTTTTAACGAAAGCTCTTCTGTTGTCGATGCTGAGGCATCTAATCGCACTTTGACTTGTCAGGATTCCTTAATCATGCCCCTGACAGCATCACAAATTCCAGTCGACTCGGACGATCCCGTCAACATTGAATCTGATTTTA